CACATTAACAAGTAAATATGTCTCATTTGCTGTTGAGAATTTAGTATTTGAATAACCAAGTTGCTCGTGGAGTATTTTTTTTTAATCGCAGAAGGATGGAAATCATTTATATGCATTTTCTAAAACGCGATGTTGAGAGCATATCCATTGCCTCTCAACATGGTGACGGCTGAGCAATGCAGTGAGTACACAATGAGTACATTTTAAGTCTTAAATCTTTTAAGATTTATGCTTAATATGTTTTTTTTAAATTAGCGCTATGTGTCTGCTTTCACAACTTGAAACAGCAAATGCTGTGAATTTAAGAACTTTTTATTATTTTTATTTTTATTTTTATTGCAGCCAACGATGCTGAAGCTACAAAAAATTAGAGGTGCATGACCAAGTGCTTCGTCAACTTTCGGAGCCTTCACACTCGATGCTACAACTGTGATGGTGCCATTGTTTGTTGCGCTGGCTTTGTTACGTCGAGCAAAAACCGAGCTTCAGCTGCGACCTTCCTGTGAGCTCTGCGACGGCCGCTAGCGAGCCGGTAGGGCACGCTCACATTCAAAACATAGAACTTTTTTTTTATTATTCTAGTAGAGACCCACGACTTCCCAAATATATCAATTATGTCCAGCTGAAAATATGGATAACATGATTCAAACATAATTCAGAGTTGGAACAAGCTGAAAGAGAATAAATACAGTATTATTGTCAAACAGTCGGAATAAGATTTTTCAGCCTTTGAGATACTTTGATATGAAAAGGGGCAAGCTGGATTTGAATGGGTTGAAAGGTTATATATGCACAGTAGATTTCACAGTGGTGGGATTATGGTCATACTCATTTCTAATGTCTCCACTGACAGTTGTGGTATTACACCCAGTTCTTCAGTGGTTTGTGATGTGATTTTAGGGAAACCTTGAAAGACAGAGGAACAAACAGCTGAAATACTGGACGGTTGACATTTTATTCACTTTCTACAGTGGTCTCCGGTTGGCCACATTCTTATTTTAGCTTAAAAAATCGGAATAAATTCCTGATAGATCATGCATTACCTGTGCTGTGCTATGTTCTGTTCTGTTTTTAACCTGAGCAGTAGACACACACCCTCAGATGTTCCCCTCTTGAGGGTGTGACAGCAATAAAGCCTTTCAGACGGGCGGTGAAACAACTTCACAACACTATAGTGTGTACTTCAGTTAATAAGGGTAATTATGAGCCTGTTGTGAGTGCTTGGAATTTTCAAATTATAATATATGTATGTTTATAATGCATTAGAGACATGTGCGTCATAGAAAGTGTTACCACAATTCTTCATGCCGATTGTTTTATCATCTTTAGCTTTTGTTTATTTGAAGTTATTTATCATATGCTTAAAAGATAGCTGTGTTTATCAACCACACTCGACTCCAAGTATACAGGTCAGTTAATATCAGCATCCACCATCAGGGTCCAGAGCTCTCCTGCATTTCCCCCCCCCCCCCCCCTCTCTAAGGCCACGTTTCAGTGTCGAATGTGTGTGTGGGTGGCTGTGTCAGCTGACGTCTATGAATCAGCCACACGAGGCCATGGTGGAGGAGAGGGCAGGAAGGATTACTGGTGAGCTTGCACACCCAGGCAGCCATTATTGTGAAAACCCTTTCACTGTCCAGAAAACACTGTCTGCTGTTGCAGCTGTTTGTTCCTCAATCTTTCAAAGTTTCAACCACCCTAAAATCACATCACCAACCGCTGTAGAATTAAGTGTAACATCACTTCTTTCACTGGAGGTATTAGAAATGAATCGAACCCAACACTGTTACACTGTTATCTACAGAACACGTGGTACTTTTTAGTTTAACCCCATTAAAATCCAGTCTTCCCCTATATATGTCCTATAAGTATCTCAAAGGTGAACATTGAAATGCCTGCAGTCACCTTTCTGACTTCAGTTTGATTCTGCACATCTATAGGTGGTGTTGGAATCGCTGTCACCCAGCTGTGTCAGACTGTGCCAGATGTGACTGTTTTTGGCACGGCATCAGCCACCAAACATGAGACAATTGCCCAAGGCGGCGTAACTCACCCCATCGACTACCGCACCAAAGACTACATGGAGGAAATTCGCAAAATCAGCCCGAAAGGTGAGAATACACACAACTGCTTGTACTGCCAGTTGTCGTGTTTCGGCACAAAAAAAAGACATATTATTCTATTTAATGGTATGAATTTAATTGTATCAATATGTCAGTGTCTTTTGTTTCTTCAATAACAAGTTGATAAAGTGACATACAAAAATCCTTATCTTTATTTTTCCCCCCCTTTCATTCACTTCAAATTCTGTCTCTCTGCAGGAGTGGACATCGTCCTCGACCCACTTGGTGGTTCAGACACCCAGAAAGGCTTCAGTTTGTTGAAACCGTTGGGCACGCTTGTAGTCTTTGGTAAGTCACCCGGAAACAGAAACAAAATCTGTTCATACATTTCTTGAGTCTGCTTAAATGTAATTTTTACTTATTTTAATAAGGCAGTTTTTTGCATAATCCTATAAAAAATGAATAGACTTGAACGAAAGCTAACAAAGGTGGGAAGTAACTTAAGTACCCTTACTCAAGTACTATACATATTTAAGGTATTTTACTTGAGTATTTCCATTTCATGCTACTGTATACTCCACAGCAATTCAGAGGGAAATATTACACTTTTATCTGAAGATTTAATTTTTTCCAGAAGATGTATATAAATAGTTTTTATTATGTACACTGTTCTATTGTTTCGGCATTCTAGGTGCAGCCAATTGTGTGACAGGCCAGAAGAAGAACCTGTTGGCCATGGCAAAGACCTGGTACAACCAGCTCTCTCTCACCGCGCTCAAACTGATGCAGTCCAACAAGGCCGTCTGCGGCTTCCACCTGGGCTACATCACTGATGGGGAACTCATCAGCAGGACTATGTTCAAGCTGCTGGAGCTCTACGATCAGGGAAAGATCAAGCCCCGCATTGACTCATGCTATCACTTCGAGCAGGTTGGTTTAACCGTGTTTTACATCTAAAATGTGAAAGAGGTACTACTTTTTAAGCATGCTTGATTGCACTTTCTGGGCTGAGGTGAAACTGAATCTGCCTCTACAACTCTTAGAAATGAAAAGAAATAAAATGATGCATGATAACTATGAAAACAAAAGCTTAGCTTGGCACAAAGACTGGAAGCAAGGGGAAACAGCGAGCCTGGCTCTGGCCAAAGGTAAAAACAAATCTGCATACAACACAAGTTTTACACTTGTTTTTTTTTTTTTTTTGAGGATCAAACAAACAAGAGTCAGCCTAGCTGTTCCTCCCCATTTCCAGTCCTAATGCTAAGCTAAGCTAACCAGCTGCTGGCTGTGGCATCATCTTCTCATTTAAGCCTCGGCAAGAAAGTGAATAAGCTTATTTCCTAATATGTTGAACAATTTCTCAAGCTGCATAAGCTCAGCTGCTCAAAGCATTCACAGACATTCGATGGATGTACGTCACTTAAGAGGAGCTCCACTGAAGCTTCTTCTGCATCACAGCCTTCTGGTGTTTTCCTCTTTTCCATTACTCTCGATCACCCCCGTCAGATGAGTCGGTACTTAAGGGCCGTTGCTAGGTGACGGGTCTAAATTGTTGCCGTGGCATCCACTACTTACGGGGATATCTCAGTGTTTCTTGTTTCTCTGGCTCACTTCAAGGTTAGACAGGAGTGTGATGCAAAACAATGCTGAATTTGCGTCTGCGAGCAGGAAACAGACAAAAGCTAAGGCAGGAAATAATAGGAAGTGCAGATGACTTATGGCAGAGATACTAAGCGTAGATAGCCTGATCGGCCATTAGCGTGTGTATCATGTAGTCACTACAAATCTGGTGCAAATAATATTGTCTTTAGGAGACGGGAAAAGCAACACGGTAAAAAAATGCTTGACCTAAAATTAAGCAATACCAGTTTTGCACATCCGTTTCGCTCCTCTGTTTTCTGTCAGGTGACTGATGCCATGAAGCGCATGCACGAACGCCAAAACATTGGGAAAGTCATCCTTCTCCCTGAAGCAAAGGAGGAGGAGGAAGCAGCAAAGGAGGAGGAAGCGAAGGAGGAGGAAGCAGCGGAATCTAAGTCCAACCCCGAGCCGGTTGAAAATGTGGAAAAAACTGAAGCTGCCATCGACGAGAAGGAAGAAGAGGCCACAGAGGAAGTTAAGGCAGAGGATTGAGTAAGAGTGTTTATTTCAATGATGTTTTCAAGCACTTCCTGAACGAGTTAACTTTTGTTCGCTTTTCACAAAGAGAAGAAAAACAAGATGCCATGTAATCTTTGATTTTGTCAGTATTTTCAAATGTTTTTGAAGATTTTGTGGTGTGATATGTCTACAGTGTAGTGTCTATGTTGGGAATACTTTGGGAAAGTTTGTCATATATATATATATATATATATATATATGCTTCACTATATTGCAAAAAAAGGTCGACCTAAAAATTAAACATTTCCATTAGAAGATAACCGGCAAGTTTATATTTTGAGAATAATAGTGATTTTCACTTTGTTTGTTATTCATTGTGTTTTTTTTTCATTTTCATTCGTTTTGTTGCAGCTTTCTTAATTGATTGTGTTGCTGATTGCAAGGCACTTTTTCTTAACTGTGAGAAGAATGGCATCATTTTGTCAGTGATAGAATTTTGATGCATTTAAGATTTAAATAATGGCTTCATACATACCAGCCCTGGTTCTGATTCTTTGTATACTAACCTGAAATACATTTCCCTTTGTGCTTTTTCTTTAATCGGAGTCATCAAATCTGGCAAAGTGATTTGAATATAATCAAGATAAATTACCGAGTTTTGTTAACTCCTTTGATCCAGTTACAGATTATTAATTTGATGAAGTAATGAGTAACTGTAATCATATTTGCCAACCCTATTTTATCAGTAAACATTAGCGTAAGGCTTGTTAGGAATAGTAGTGATCGTTCTAGTTTCATGGGTTGTGATGCAAAACTCAAATTCCTCTTTCATGAATGTTGTTCGACAAAAGTCTCTCTTTGTATTCTAGTTCAAATTGTTGTATTTTTCTCTCATATTTGTGCCAAATTTAAAGTCAGCTTTCACTACTGCCACCAAGTCTGTGAATAACAATTAGCGGGACTTCCCTGTCTTGGCACTCGTTTGGGTTTTCTTCCAAACAATGTTGTGCTGAACTTGAGCTAAAACTGTTCGGCAAGCCATGTGAAGGCATCTCACCTCGATTGATTTAGCTGCTTTCTTAAATCCTACATTGCCTCTTCAAATAAAAAAAATATAAGTGTTTACAGAACTACAGTATGTGTTACTTAGTCATTCCTCATATATATATATATATATATATACACACACACAGGGAGTGGGTTATACAAGTTATGAAGAAAAAAATGGGATGGTGCTTTGCTTTTATGCACTTTGTATTTCTTTGCTCAATATTTATTCATGCTGAAGCGCTTAAAGTAAAGTGATGAATTATTAAGTTTCCATTTTCTTCACAGTAATAATTTGTATGTTTTTGCACGTCTGTATCTTTGAATGGATGATCTTAAATAGTGGGCTCAGTATGTTTTCTCCAGCTGCGGGTGTAAGTCAGTGCTGTGACGCAGAAAGACGCTACAGAAGCACAAGAGAAAAGAGTTCCCTTCATCCGCACCAGAGCAGCTCGGCACATTCCTCTCCCCACCCTCTCAGTCCTGCTTTCTGTCTCGCTCTGTGGCCCAACTCTCTGAAAACGCTCTCTCCCTCTCCAGCATATCTTGTTTAAACAAAAGCTCTTAGGAGAGAGTAAGAACGTTTCACAGAATATGCTGAATATTATTTACATTTGTGACTTTAAGTTTGGCTCGGTTTCCTTCTCCTGGTATGACGTAAGATCTGATGTGGATTTTGAGTGGGAACTGAAGTCGGCTCATTGTGATTATTTGAAGTTCAACTTGTTACAAAAATCCCAGTGTGCGTTAATGTTAGATTTAGATTTATACTTTAAAACTTTATTTCTGGTTGTTGCTCTACCCAGAAGCCTGATGTTTGCCTTTATGACCGATGGAGAAGTTTCATTTAACTACTGAACCAAATAGAGGAGTTTAAACTCATGAGTATGTTGGAGGTTGTGCTCCAGATGTTAAAGGGCAATTGGTGAAGATAAAACGTATAAAAAACCACTGCTAGATCGTCTTTGCTTATATTTCTGTAATGCTAAAAGGTTTGACACATTTATTATGATTACAGCGGGAAATATAACTTCAGAACAACATTTTTCTTTTGTGTTAAATGTAACATTCAAAGGTGGTTATCTAAATAGTGAAAAAGTCTCATATTTCCCATAATATGACAACAATATACATAAATGGAAACAGTATTCACCCATGCGGTGAAGGACATCTAGTGGTGAAATTGTGCCTTCGAAATATGTAGTTAAAATACTCTACAGTGTTGCCTGTGAACAAAATGTTCAGTAGCCTGCCTTGTTAAATGTAAAACATGATTACAATCGAGCCTCCTCACTTTCTAATAAGATGTTACATTCGTTTCGTAATAAAATCCTAAAACATTATAGCTGTTAAATATGTAATGACCCCTTTTAACAATAACCCATTCAAAGATTCTCTAATGCTTTATTCATGCAATGTTTTTTTGTACATATAATAGATATGATTGTGATCATTCTGTGTGCTGAGTCTATTAATCTCTAGTATGATGTTGAGCTCCAAAACATTTGTCTCAATAAGTGAAAGATTTGATGTGTTACTGTATTCATGATGGTGATCAAACAACGCTGCCTTTTTATCATTTTTATACACACTTTATGCACATTTGCCTTCTGTGTTAAATGGCCGGAACCTGTCTGTATTATTAAAGTGTTATCACATTATGTTCCTCTAAGCTTGTGAATTACTCAATTGATTCTGTATTGATTAAGGGGGCATTAAGTTGACCCTCATGATTGTGTATGATCAACTGAAATGAAGCCAAGAAAGCAAACTACAGGTGTGTTCACATCATAGTTAACATGCCATTTATATTTAACATTTGTTGTGTTTTGTATCAATTGTCCCACAAAGATAAGTTGCCCGAACCTGGAACCAATTTTTTGGGGTTGACTAATAAGACATACTTGGCGACCAGCAGAGGTCCTCATCTGGTCAATTTTTGTACACTCTCACTGGCAGCTTTTCCAAAATATACAAGGGAAAAACACATGACAAAAACTAGGAGAAAAATAAACTGGGCTGTGAATATGTTTTATGCCACTGTAAACTGTATTAACATGCTGTTTTGCTCAATCTCTGATACATACTTTTGTATGTAACACTATGCGCAAAGGTCAAAAGTTCATTAAATGTTAAAACTACTAAAGGTAGGTATACGGAGCACAACACAGTATGTTTCTAAAGGGTAGAGAGGCTGAAATGCTTTGATATAGTGATAACATTATGCTTAATATCCCCTTGTTCTATCAGCAGATAATGTAACTCTGGACGTTTATCTTGTTCTTGCATCACTCAGAGTTTGCCCAGCCCTTTGTACAGCAGACACTGTACACAGTTAAGGAGATGTCCTTTGTTTAACCCTCAGGTGTCTGCAGCGAACGCTAGTCTCATGCACGTAGCGCCTCCATTTATTTTTAGATGGACATTTCCAGCACAGGGCAAAGTGATAACTCGTGTTTTTCAGAACTACAACACGTGTTCCTATCACAGTGTAACATTGGCTGTTTCGATTGTCAATTAAGTGAGTTAGTAGGCTGTTAATATTGTTGCTACTGCATCAGCTTGAGTTGCACCTTGAATTCAAATTCACCAGACACCATACAGCGCTGTACATTATGGCATAATTACATCACTCATCCTTGAGTCCAAGTGCAATATAGAGCAGAATATACATTTACTTGCAGAACAGAATTCTCAAATAATATGTAATTCAGCCAATGTGTTTCCAAATGCGTGTTGTAATGACTCTTCACCAACAAAAACTGGTCATTATACACTTTGTAAAGCTAGAATAGTGTCTGAGCTGTTGAATTAGAAGATGTGTGTTGTTTCTGTTGAACTCTATTTCTAAAGCGTCAGTTGAAAGTGTTCCTCTCTTGGTCTTTTAATTTGAAAGGTTACGTCGGAAGTGCTGTGTTCACGCTTGGTCATTTGACACTGGCTTTAAAAGGGAATACCCTCTGCACTGCTGTGGGAGACTTGCCGCGTCACTGGGATGCGGTCGCCGGAGCCGGGCGTCTAGCCTACCGTATTCGCTCATATGCCCACGCCGGTAGGCCTACTTTTTCTTTTTCTTAATCAGCACATTTCTTTTTTTCCCTCTGTGTGATTTTACTGTTTGAATTTGCCTTTTAATCTTTTCCTCTCGGACATACACCCGGTCAGCCTAACGACTCCTGACAGAGCCCTCGAATGACTTTCAGTGGTAACCTCTCGTACAGGAGTAGCTGCTCCGGGGTTAAAATTAGATAGCTTAGAGTGTAAATATGCTCTATAAATAATGGAGCTGCTGTGGCAGACCAGGCTGCACTTGGCAGGTGCAGCCAAACTGCAGGTTACAGAACATTTACAGTTGTTAGAGTCAAACCAGCAGGTCTGTTATTATTACACCAATGAGCTGACATTGTCAGACAAACGGTATGCATGCATTTGAACCAAGTTTAATTCTCTATTAGGTTATTGTTAGGCTGAGATTTTGCTACAATGGTGTGTGGATTTAAATAACTGGCATGTACAGGTTGTGCAAGATGCATGTGACAACTAGACACAGCTATTCTGGCACATGACCTTCTTATATCACAATCTTAAGCTTGTCAGTGGTGTGTTCCTTGTCTATTTCTATTTCATGGAATTGTATTACTCTGAATATACTATTTTGCAGCATACTAAAGGTCTATTTATAGGTTTGTCAGTCCTGTACAATTTGTTTCCAGTGGTGGAATAAGTACTCAGACCTTACTTAAGCTTCAACAGCAGAATACTCACTATGCAGAATATTATAAGGCTATTACTAGTGCTGATTACTGATGTGTAAATAGTATTAAAATTAAAAGTTAATTTTATCTTAATCTTATTTTACAGGATGATCATGCACTTTGGATGTGGAAACTTAATCTGCAAACTGCCTGAAGTTGACAAAAAAGGCTCTTAGCCAGACTATGTAACAGATCTATGAGCCCTAAAACATTCATTTTATGCCGTTTTAACAATGGTCATAGACTTCATAGATCATATAATCTTCTCAGCTTTATGGTCCATTTGAACAAATGAGCTATTTTCATGAAATCATTTTTAATGAACTTATCTGGTGTTCCTTTTTAGAGTTAGCTACCACCTTGTCAATTTGGCATAAATAACTCAATGTGGGAAAGAATTGATTTTTCAATCACAGGAAACAGTGAAAATGATTAAATTAGCTTTAGGTATCTTTTCAACGATCCTTGGCTTGCCAGAGTGCAGTCACTGCATTTTTGATTTTTAACTCTTCTTTTTTAGTTCTAGTGCAAATTTGCTCACCCACAATAATGTTTATATGTTAAAGCAGATGTCAAAAAGTCAAAGATTCTGGTCTTTGATCCATTTTGACCAAATATATAGTTACTGTGTTTTATGTCTGTAGGGCAGTATCGTCCTTCAGCCTATACAGAGTAAAGGTGATCCATATGTCCCCTAAATGTTCTGTATTAGAAGTATAAAATAGCATGTATACTTGTAAATTCATCAAAAGTAGTAATTGTACATTACTTGAGTAGCTTTACTATTTCACGCTTCACTAGGCTGGTTTGACGTCACCACTCATATCTGTTCCATTTATGGCAAAGGTATGCTGTGAAGTTACAGCTCTCTCTTCACTCAACTTATGCCTTGTGCTACAAACAGATCTGCCATGCCTATGTAAGATCTGGAATGTATAAATAAAGTTTTGTTCCCTCAATCCAGAAGGAATAAAGGCATGTTTGAGTGGAGAACTATGATGAATATAAGAAGTGTATGAGCGTTGCATATCAGATGCTGCAGGGTTCTAAACAAAGACAGTCTGATATTTCCAGAAAATGAACATTTACCTAGAGATTTTTTCTTTCGCTAAGTGTCCACGTTGAAGTTAACTGCAGCGTGCTGAAGAAACATCCAAATGTACAAATTCTCTTAATTACGCGATAAGCTGAAGGGGAAACATATGTTTACAAGGGAATGGAGCAGAGTAAACAGGATGTGCATGATGTCATACTAAATGGCATCCTGCCAGTAACGTTTTATTTTTAGAGAAGGGTGTAATAAAACTGTGAAATGCTCCTCAGAATCTGTTGTCCTTGGCATCTCCTTTTCTTAGAGAGGGACCACTCACCATTTCCTCCGCTCACCGAAGATGGCGGCTCCATCGCACCAAGACCATGCGGCGCCACAGCAACCGCACTTTTTAGTGTTGTTCGACTTTGACGAGACCATCATCAATGAGAGCAGTGACGATGCTGTGGTGCGCGCTCTGCCAGGCCAGCGGCTTCCTGACTGGCTGAGAAACAGCTACAGGGAGGGGCACTACAACGAGCACATGCAGAAGGTCTTGGTGTACATGGCGGAGCAGGGCGTGTCTGAGGACTCCATCCATTCAGCGGTGGAGAAGATCCCACCCACACCTGGCCTCGTTAACCTCTTCCAGTATCTGCAGGGCTATCAGCAGGACTTTGAGCTGGCCGTGGTCTCCGACGCCAACATGTACTTCATCGAGACGTGGCTGGAGTGTGCCGGGGTGCGCCACCTTTTCGCCAAGATCTTCACAAACCCGGCCAGTTTTGACACAACTGGCCGTCTCGTCCTGCTCCCCTTCCACTCCCACTCGTGCCCCTGCTGTCCCGACAACATGTGCAAGCAGGTGATCCTTCGTGATTATCTGACGGGCCGACAAAAGGAGCGTAGTGGTGCTCCTTTTCAGAGGGTATTCTATATCGGAGATGGGGCCAATGATATCTGTCCCTCTCTGGCTCTGGGGCCCCGGGACACAGCCTTCCCCAGGAGGGACTTCCCCATGCACAGGCTGCTGCTGGAGATGTCCCAGGCAGCCAAGTTCAAGGCAAACATAGTTCCTTGGGTCAGCGGCGAGGACATAGTGGACAGCCTGAAGAAAATAATGGAAGAGAGATGAGATGTGTGTGTGCGTGTGTGTGTGAGTGTGTGTTCCTAAACCGAGGCTACTTTTGGGGACACATTTCAGACGTGATTAGTGTGAGGATAAGATTCCAGGACAAAAATGCAAGTCAATGTAATGTCCCCAAAAGTTATCTCACTAAAATGTGTGTGCGTGTGATTGTGTGAAAGAGAAAGGCAATGAGAGGGGCAAATATAGCAAAAGTGCACGAATCCCAGTCCTGGTGAGCTGCAGGATATGCATGATTTTACCCCAGCAACACTTGGCACAATCTGTAAAGACGTAGCCAAATAGTGTGCATCTGTTTGAATCACCTGTTTTTAAATGAATAGTTTGAGATTTTCTTGTGGAGTTAGATATTGTGATAAATATGTGGCTGGTGTCAGCAGCTGGTTAGTTTAGCTTAGCATAAAGACTGAAAATAGGGGGAAACAGCTAGTCGTTTCTCCTTGTTTCCAGTCTTAATGCTAAGCTAAGATACCAAGCAGCATATTTTCTGTAGACATGAGAGAGTGTTATAGGTCTTCTCATTTAACTCGCTGCAAGATGTGATTAAGTGTCATTTCAAAAATGTCCAAACTATACCTTTAATGCTAGCCTAAACACCTATTCTCATACTAAGTAATAGGTTTTAGTATGCAGTATTAGAACTTGATTTCCATTTGAATGCAAATACATCCCGATCAAGATAATCATGATCAATAATGGAGAAAAAGCAAATCATGCTCTAAGTTCTGGTTTTTGAGTTTGATCAAAATGCTGAAGATCAGAGTAGATTTTAACCAAAGTTGTGTCTAGTGTGCTCCGGAGTGAGCTAAATCAAATGCAATCAGCTCATTTAACACACCATCTCATTCAATATGAATGTAATGTAGTTTACATCTGACTATCTCACTGTATCTGACACTGTTGAGCAACCCTAGCCAGGAAATTCGGTGTCACAGGTACTGTGTAGGGATTTCAGTGAGCTAGAGCAACAGCTTGAATCTACTCCACTCTCGGTGCTCTCTTGTGTTGACGGGCTTATTATTTTTTTTAAAACACTCAACACTGCATTCAAGGACCTCGATGAGAGACACATAAGCAGGATCAGGTGTTGCAGCACCGCACGGGACAAAAGACCACACATGTTGTGTCAGACAGGGACAAGGACGGCAGAGAGCAGGGATAAGGTGTCTCTGTCCACCACTCATTACTGATACCTAATCTAGGGCTTGATTATACAACAGTGATCTACACCAGCATGAGATCCAAAGGGAACGCTGTAGCCATACGCTTGCACTTTGGTACAACATTATACCCTGTGACTCTGAAACAATGGAAAAAAAGTCTAATGCAAAGTACCAATTGAAGAATTTTAATTGTATTTGTGTATTATTATTAGCTCGCTCTCACTGTACTTGTACCCTTTTAACATTCACAGTGAATATTAGTATTGATAACAGATATATTTAGATTGAGGAGCATTTGCAGCCTGTTTGAATGTATTCCCAGTAAACAGCAGTGTTGTGAGTGAGTGACGATTATATTAATATATATTTGCATACTCGACTCGACACGTAGCCTCATTCTGCCTCACTAAATCTATGTCATGGACTTGAAAATATATTTAAAAATAAGGAGCACTTGTATAAATTGAGATGATTTACAGGGACATTAATATTTTGTTTTAATTCAGGAAATTGTGAAATATTAAGTCTTGATAAATATCTTTGTTTTCCCATCCTGTTTACAAAAAGCTGTTTGAATTATGATTCTCATTGGGCATGCATACTGTACATTAGCTAAGGTACTAAAGCCTGTTTAAGGTTTCCATGTGAGTATACAGACAAGTTAACACTCATATTGGTCCTGTCTAGTAACTGTAGGCCAGAGGTAGAATAATTGAGTGTATAATTACATTCATTTTTTTATCCATACCCATATACTGAACAGCAAGCCATTGCAGATAATAATAAGAAAGTTTGTGTGCTGATGAAAAGCCGTCAAAAAGATAAGTAATAAACTTGTTAATTGATGAAAAACTTCTAGCCTTAAAAAACAACCTTATGCTGTAAAAGTGCTGGTATTTTCTTTTTCAGTGTTTTAATTTCTCAGGGAGTAGAAGCAAAAGTATTGACAAGCAAACACAATGATATGTGTTTATGAAATATGTTTATTTGCTGCTCTAAGATGATCATTTATGATTCAAAAAGTATTGATGTTTATGAGAAGTAATCAATGCAGCTGGAGTGTGATCCTGAAACTCTTTGAGATCAAAACCTAATCCATTAATGCTTTGTGAGTAGGAGACTAAAGTCATATGAGTTTATTATATAAAAAATGTAACAGTGGGTCATTTAATTAACTCTAACTGTCTGTGTACCTGTAAAACTTCCATGGAGTTTTGTGCAATAATTAAATGCTGTATTCTTGATATGATGTAAAAGAGAAAAACAGGAAGTAAAACTTTTGAGGTTTTCAGGGATGTGAATCAACACCAGATCACCAAACTAGTTGTTTTTTCAATGAAACTTTAAAATGGTATTATGGCTTCACAACAACCAAATAAAATGATGCGTTGTTGGGACTGCTTGACTAATATGCTACTTTTTTCATTTTTGTAGTTTGCTGTATCCTGGGTGTGAGTGTTTGTAATCAAAGATCCAGTTCTGTGTGTAAAGCATCAGTGTGACAGGAATATAAAGCCATTATCTGATTAATCTGTTTATGTTGTGTTTCACAGCCGCGACTATGAACTAGTTTCCTCTTGAGGATCGATGAGGCTCATCGTAACTTATCACTTTCATTAAAGAATGATATGGACAACAACGATCTCACCTCAAGCTCCATTTAGTGACTGTTCTGGAGCTTTCACATGAGTTTGTTTTCACAGAAATGTCAAATTTTCATTTTTTGAGCGCTTGAAGGACAAAAATAAAAAATGTAACATAAAATATGTATTGTATAAAATATATATGTATATACATGTATTTTTTAATTACTAATTAATAAATATAGAGTACTATACAGTATATGAGTAGATTAGTCGATTGACAGATTGATATCCCCCAAAAAATCCTTAGTTGCCTCTCAATTGTTAATATTTTCTGCTTTTCTCTGTTTTATGTCATTATAATTGGAATAAATTTGCCTAAAACAATTAATCAATTAGTTCATTTGAATCTAGCAAGTTTTGTGATACCTTCAAAAGATCCAATTCAGTTTTTAGACCTTAACTCATAATTGTTTTGTCAACAGCTGTTTCAAAGGCAAAGAATGATCTTCTTTAAAAGTCAACATTGAAATTGTGTTGTGGGAAAGCCCAATGGAGTCTCAGTAGAGAGGGCCATTGCTTAACTAGTTGGGAAGGGGACAAATGAATAAATACTGCCATGTACTTGTGGATGGTTTTAAATTCATGTTTTGGGAGAGACAATGTCAAGCCGGGGTCGAAGACATTAGAAGAGAATGGGGGAGTGATTTAGGAAGAAGGGACAAGGAGCAGAAGGCCCACATGACGCAACCTGTCCTCTTGATTTAGCAGCAGAGGCAGTAATAGAGAGATGGAGGACAGAAGAGACCCGGAGTAAGAGGAGTCATCCAAACCACTTTCTCAACTTGCAGGACTTCAGAGAGCCAAAGGACAAAGTGAAGACAGAAGGGAAGGATTGGAGGACAGAGGATGAGAGTGCAGACAGAAAAGAGGAGGTGGCGGGGTCAGTGGAAAGAGTCAGCAGTTTGAAAGGAGGAGAGGAAAGATGGACAGAGACACTGAGCTGTGATGATACGAGAAGACGTTAGAGGTGAGATGAATGTTCCACCAGCACGGCCGGGATAGTGACCTGCAGGGGATGCGGCATCCAGTCAGCGTTGGTTGTGGTTGAATCTCACACATGAATCTCCAACAGAACTGCAGGCTAATGAGTTGCAATGTTGGTAATGTAGGCAACATGTTTTGACAAGAAAGAAGAATGCGTGGTTACATTGATTTTACTTTATTTCTTTTAAACCGTAAACATTTGACACTGTTATAGGAGTGCAATGCTATATCAGTGGCGTACGCTTTTAACCGAAATGACAAGAATAGAAAAGACTTAATAGAAAATTGTAAGAAGTTACTATTAATTTATAGGCTTTTTACCAACATTTTTCATCAAAACTAGAGAAAGTCAAGGGATATACAGACAACATTTTATTTTGCTTGTTTTGTTTAACGTATTACATCAAGCTGGGACTGCAGATGAAAATTAGCCTTTTGGCTAAATCTGATACATTGACATGTTGTTGATGTTTCTTAACGTGTCAAAACAAAGTTACAAAGTGCTGTTCATGGGGAAACAATTTACCACTGCAATTAAATAAAATCAAGCAAATAAAAGTAAAACTTTCAGCTCCTCGGGCCTCTAAAGTTCTTTGAAGTGAACTGCCTCTAACTCATGTCCACACTAAGGTGACAAGTTGCAGGCCCAAAAGTTTAGGAACATAACTTCTGTGTACATCTCTTGACCAGAAGGTGGCGCCATGTCAACATTTCTCCATCAAAACTTGCTGACGTGCAGTAACAGACCTCATCAGTTCTAACAATAAACCAAGCACATTCAGGCCAACATAGAGTTGTGTTGCACTGGATTCATGAGGAAAAACCATTTGGCAACAACAGAACTAGGCTTCCTTCGGCGTAAACAGCAGTGCTGATGTGAATTCATGGAACAACTCTCAGAGAGTACGACAGCAGAGGCTCGAGGCTGTGGTGACTGAGATGACAGGAGGCGTTCGTGTGTGCTCAACGTCACCATGTCAATTTGACGTGCTGCTGAAGTCGGCCAAGTAATTTGTTGGTTCAGCTTTCTTACTTGTATGGAATTCAGTCTGTTCTAGGGTCCATTTTGCCTGCCATAACCTTGCCTCTGCATTTAGCCACTATTGTTATCTCTTCTCTGATACCCTCATCTTCCTTTAAGGTTTGACTTTCTGTCAGATCAGATAAAGACGTTCCACTAGTCATCTTTGCATCCAATCTCACATTGTTCTCTCCCCACATCTGTTTCCTTCTCTGTGATTTATTCTGTCACGCTGTCCCTCGGGTGACTCCATGTCATTGTTGTTGTCTACCAACATATTTTCTTTTGTCAGTCCAGGGCTTTTAAAGACACTGTCACCAGCAGAGAGCTGACTGTACAAAACACTTGTAGCCAACACTTTGCTTTTATCGCCTTCTTTTTTCCCCAATATGATTAAGCCATCACTCTTTGGAAAGCCTCTCCGTTAGTTATGGACTTTTGCAACTCCCAGCTCAATTGATTGTAACAGAATTGATCCTTCAATTTAGGTCATATGGAGGCTGACATTGTTCGGGGAAGAGTACATGCTGTGTCTATTATGATTAAATAGGCAAAAGATAACTTGCTGTCCAACCCAATTTCCAATGACCTCCAGCGGTAAGTGACTGGATAGAAAACCTAATTAGCATCTGTGGAGAATGATGACAAATCGTATTTGAGGATCTTGAACTCGCCAATGACCTCCTGGTGTACCTCGCTGTCAATATCCAAATACCAGCTGATACAGCCCTTCCCTTCAGCAATAACTGAACACACCCAACTGGTAAAATGCTTTAAATTGGCAGAGCTATCCGATGATTGCTTTTATTGATACCCTCATTGATTTCCCTCCATTCAATTACACCCTCGGAGGTGAAAGATAACTTCATTAAGGGACTTGAGCCTTGTAAGAGGACACTCTGAATTAGGATGTGGACTTTTATGCCAAAAACGCTATCAGGCTGATTAGGCTCGTTCCACTCCTCTGTGTTTGATTCCTCTGCTGATAGTTTAAGAATACAATCCCAGCCAACAGTCAAGCTAATAGCTTTGAGCGGTGGCAGTCAGTTAGCAACAAATGAAGATGGAAAGGCGAGGGAAGTGTGGGAGGCCTGAGCTGACGTTTGTGTCCTTGAGATGGAATGGTGGAGATAAAACTAAGATTCCTTTGCTTGTAGGTCATCAGCCACAGGATAAACAGTGTTTGAAGTCCATGGGCATATCCTTGAGGAGGTTAAATATCACAAGATAACCCTCCCTCTATCGGGAGGAGCTTTTGTGTGTTCATTAGTTTTCTGCTGAAGCTGTAGCAGTTGAGGAAAATTTAAACATTATATGATATCATAAAATACTTCATCTTGGAGGGTAAGAAACAAACCTTTGCTGGCAAAGTAGTCCAAGATCTTATTAAAAGACGTACTCCAGCAATTTAGCACCACACTTATAAAGTTAAAGGACTTGAAGCAGCAGAGGCTGTTTGTTCCATTTTCATTTAGAAACTTCTGGTTGCTATTTCAAGGCCCGGCTATAGAAAATACATGTAAGAAGTCATGGTCCTGAACGATTCACACGATTTCTCACAGTTGGGAACACATCCACATTTACAAGGATGGTCATATGGCCTGACACCACCACAGATATGAGATTAAAAAGACACATAATGTCAATAATATGGGTCAAAATAACACTACTACCGAAAGTTCCCACAATGCAATTATATAGCATATTTTTTATTTGAGCCCCAGTTAACTCTCATCTTTCAAACTTCACACCCCAAGTTTGTACACGGGCTGTTCACATCATCTGGGTTATTTCCTACTGCTTTAGAAAGCTCCGACCACGACTACAGATGACATTATACAGCTTGTTTTTACAGGCGGAGCAGTTTGTTGAGGAATTGATAGCAGAAGGCAGACAAGCTCCTTATTTGTATCCAAAGCCTGATGGAAGAAGATGAAACAAAGTGTTGGTGTCTGTTCAGCCTCAGACTCCGTCTGAAGACAACAGTGTGGTAAATACACGGTATGTGTTGTCTGAGCTGAACCAGAAACTTGAACCTCAATACAAAAAGTTGAGTACCGCCATGTCTTTCCAACACATTTGTTACATGCTTTGCTGCACTGTGAGTGAACAAACAAGTTATCATTTGTCTCAAGATAATCTTACACAAGTCCATGATGACAAGTGGACAAAGATGTCAATACTTTGGAAAACTACGATGTATTTACATAGTAGTGCAACTGATATTTCCCACACAATTGAGACTTCTTTGTCATCCAGTGTTGCAGTGAGAAACTAATGCAGGTGTGCCATTGACTGGAGGTCATAAATTGCATATTTATTTGCATGAATTTGAAAAAATAAATATATTTTAAGAGCCAATGTGTCCCCATTATTTATATTTATTGGACAATGTTATGTACAGACATTTATACATTTGCACAACGTCAATAAAGCTAACTGCCTTATGATGCTTGACTCTCTCTCTCTCTCTCTCTCTCTCTCTCTCTCTCTCTCTCTCTCTCTCTCTCTCTCTCACACACACACACACACACCCTTCTCCTTGCCTTGCCTTGCACCAGCCCATTTGTCTTCCTCTGCTCATACAATCAAAGCTCTCTCCCTCTCCAGACCAGTCTCCGGGACAAAAGTCAATGCAACACTCAATTTAGTCAAATCTTCACTCGCCTAAAACTTTGAGAACATTTTTTAAATGTAGGAGAAGTACCGTACCTCTCCGGTTGTGACGTGTTTTAACGGAGTGGACGCTACATTTTTGACGGGAGGAGCGGCGCCAAACGAGCGTGCGAAAAGGTGAGGATGCCGCGTGGTGAGTTACCACAAGGTAGGAAAACATGTCTCCTGTTAACATGTGTGTTTGAGTAATGATTACAGGTAAAACAGGTAAGGTGAATTGTTAGAAATCCCATGAGACTTGTGTTCTTATTTCCCAGGTTAACGTTATTTAAAAGTTAGTTATGTTAGCTAACTGTTACTAATGTTAGCTAGCTCACTGAGCTTACTGGTTGACTTTGTCTATAATGTTTACAAGCTTGTGTCTGTAAGTGTTGATAGCCATTAATACGCTTTAACACATACAACAGTTTGAGGGTCTGTCCTCATCTTAAGCTTCAGGTTAGCTACCCTAACGTTGCTATAATTCATATATATATTATATATATAAGATTTGTTTTTTTTATTGGATACCAAGTACAGCACAAAATATTCATTTGCATGCTTTTTCTTTTTGTAGTATTTGTTTTAAAATACTCTAACCGTTATATTTCCAGAAAGTTTTCACCGGTAAAGTGAAGATCAGAAGAACATATGAGCTTAAACGTTGGAACACTTTAATTGTTGTTTAAATGTTACATTTTTCTTTTACAATTAAATACTTTTCAGATTTTTTAAACTAGATGTCGAACATAAAATCCGTGAGGAATCTGATAAGACGTATCTTTTATGGCGGTCTCGTCTCTTTTCTCCTTGCAGGCACATGGAGTTTGAAATATCTCTGAATTCTGGCTGGAAAAACGAGGAGGATCAGAAAAATAAAACAAAAAGAGGTAATAAGTTCCCCTTCAATATGCAAAAATAGATAGACGGATGATTAATATTCAGTAGACCTGAAGCTGTAACGAAACTATCATTTTTAGTAGTTGCGAAGAAGGAGTTGTTATGAAATAAGGGTTAGTAGTACTATGTCTACTCCGTTTTTAACCTAAAAAACCTAATAAATATGTTACATGATAAACAAAGATACACTAATATTAAAGGCTAATTTTGCAGAGGAGGCACAATACAGTGTGTTCACCCTCCTACTAAAACCACATAAAGGGAAATGTGAAGGTAAATAAAGTCGGCTTCTAAATTTTAAATTCATGACCTGACCAGTTGTGTCGTATATACACATACTATACATCTTGTCCCATGTGGTTTGATGTGTGACCATAAAGTACCCTGTGGGCTCCATGTCTGGATGAACAGTGAGGAGAGACGCGTTTGGGTAATTAACCTTGCAGTCCTTCGTGATAGCATTTCCTGGGGACAGAACTATTATTTAAGTAAGTTTGCCGAGACGTCGATAACGTAGTAATGAAGGCATCAAAATGACAGAAATTGTATCTGCTTGTTCTTGTCATCGCTCTCAGGTCTGCTAGTTATTACCACCCGATTTCATTGTTTCCCCCTTTGTTCATCTGCACTAAATGCTCAACGGTGAAGTCGTAGCAAAGCAAACGTATACTGATTTATGTAGAAGTCTAGTTTCGGGGGAACATCTTGATGTCCTAGGGATCTAAATGGTACCCGTCAGTTTTCTAGTTTGTCTCTAATCAAGAAACCCCCCAAACTATAGCTTTAAAAAAAAGGAAGTGTATTGCCAGCAAACTTTATACAGTCGCCTTTCAAGTTAATAGCGGTTGAGTGTTTCATACTCATGAGATAGATTTCAGGTAGAACATCGCTTTGACTACTTTGAAGGAAACCACAAACCTTCACGTCCACAGCTTGAAGCGCTCTTAGATCGGCATGTACGAGGCTGGCTGCTCTTTAAAGTAACACTCCTCAAATAGTTATTGTAATGGCGCTGTAGGAAACTGGAGGCTTTTGGTCTGAGGCTGGGAGACATCTGGGGAAAATGCAATGCATCACCTTCAGATGTTCAATGTGGCAGTACTAGCAACGTGGGTCATCTTAAACACACTTCATTTGAAGCTCAAACCCTTAATTCACAGAGGTAGATGTGAACATATTCCGGCTCCAGACGGTGTTTCCCCGCTGCCTCTCTCTCTCTGTCGTTGCTGCCGTATTTGTGCTACTGGGTTAGCTCGTAGAGTAGTGGCTTTCACATGTTCTTCAGAAGCAAACCATTGAAATAGCTGAATTAAATGTTTTATTTTTCACTTGCCTGATCGGACAACTGCATGAGGCATTCCTGAAGTTAGGTCTTACATAGGATTATGAACTAAAATACCTGATTTGATGTTTAAATTAGCTTTTCTCTGTGTTCCTGTGCACAACCATGATTTTCTTTGCCGATGAGCTGACCTGAAAATGAGCAATTTGGAGGATTACTTCCAGTTTTTGCCATCCACGAGACTTTGGGTGGTCATAGCTGTGCTACTGGCCCTCCAAATAGTACATTACACAACATGGCCAGATGTGCAGTTTTAGAGGGCATGTGACTCTTAATGAGACAGTCAGGACTTCTCTACAGAGTGAGACATAAGGAAGCATGTTACCAGCAGCTGGACTGGGTTTCATATTCATTTTTTTTGTTTCTTTTTTTAAATAGAATGCCACACTGACAGTGTGTCAGTATGTTATAAATGATGTGTCAGTGAGAGACATCTTCAGTGGCATGGCATCGATAGCTATATATGCATTTTAATCTGTTGTTGCCAGAGTTTTGCATGATATAAAAATCAAGAAAAACAACTTTTGAAAATAATTTATTCTCAATTTGTAATAAGTATAACTGTAAGTGAATGAATTATGGAACATCTGGACAGTCAGACATAGTAACAACCTCATTTAATTGGGGATGTTCAGTTAACAATTATGGTTACACATTCCATCGTTATCATTACTCTTCCTTTTGCGTGCTCATGCCAAGGGTATGTTTAGACATGAGCTTTGGGGCGTAGCTATTAAAAGAATCAAGGATGAACGTGTTGGTATTGTGAAGAAATTCACCATGTTCACTGTAGGAAAGACAAAGAGCTCAAAAGTGCTCTGACAAAAATACTCTGTTAATACAGCAGAAGAGTGTGTGGTGTCATCATTTGCAAAATTAAAACGTGTCGATTTATTCTGTGTTTGGGGGAAAGAGAGACACAAAAAGACAGGTTAATAAATACTCTTTGTTTTTTCTCTCCACATATTAGACACTGTTAAGAAGGAAAGGGTGATTTATTATACTAAGTTCTGGGTAGATATTTGGCTTGTCTGTAATGAGTCTGTCTAAATGAATTGTTAGTATTAATGTGGGTTTCATCATTTCTTTTCTCTCCGCAGGGAAGTAACAGGAGGTGTATGTGGCCTCTCACTCTAGTTTCCCTGCAGCTATCATGAGTTGGAGTTTCCTGACTCGCCTGCTGGAAGAAATCCACAACCATTCCACATTCGTGGGCAAGATCTGGCTCACCGTCGTCATCGTCTTCCGCATCGTGCTGACGGCCGTAGGAGGGGAGTCCATCTACTACGATGAGCAGAGCAAGTTCGTCTGCAACTCGGGCCAGCCGGGCTGTGAGAACGTCTGCTACGACGCCTTCGCTCCTCTCTCGCACGTCCGCTTCTGGGTTTTCCAGATCATTCTGTTGGCCACGCCCTCGCTCATGTACCTGGGCTATGCCGTCAACAAGATTGCTCGGGCGGAGGAGCAGACAGACAGCGGGGGAGTGATCGGACTTTCGCAGAGGAAGCCCGGGAAGCCCTATCTCGCAGGCAGAAAGCAGCACAGGGGCATCGAAGAGGCCGAGGATGACCAGGAAGAAGACCCGATGATCTATGAGATGGCGGAGGAGGAGAGTGATGGCGGCGGACCGGTGAAAGGAAACAGTGGCGATAGGCTAACAAAGGTCAAGGTGCGCCATGACGGGCGCCAGCGTATCAAAGAGGATGGACTGATGCGTATTTATGTCCTTCAGCTCTTGACCCGCACCTTGCTGGAGGTGGCTTTCTTGTGTGGACAGTACGCCCTGTATGGATTCGCTGTGCCTCACACCTACGTGTGCTCAGACCAGCCCTGCCCTCACAGAGTGGACTGCTTTGTGTCCCGGCCCACTGAGAAAACGATCTTCCTCCTCATCATGTACACAGTCTCCCTGCTCTGTCTGGCACTCAACATATGGGAGATGCTTCACCTGGGCATCGGTACCATCTGTGAGATCGTACGCTCCCGCCGGGTGTGGCTGCCCGACGATGAGCTGTACGGGCTGACGCGGGCACAAGGAGCTCTCAATGACGAAGGACTGAGCGGAGATGATTACAGAGGCTACCCTTTTTCCTGGAGTGCACCATCAGCTCCACCTGGGTACAACGTCGCCATCAAGCCTCTTCTGGTATCTACAGGACACCACGACAAGCCACTACCCATCACCGACATCACTAACGCCAAGATGTCATGCCGGCAGAACCACGTGAACACTGCCGAAGAGGAGCGTCAGCAGTACACTAATAACGGTGAAAACATGTGCACAGCAGGGATGGGAGATGCCCCCAGATGTGTTCACAAGGACATCCGTCAGCCTCAGAACAAGCTGGAGGCTGACAGTCCGGCCAACAGCTACAGCAAGCCTCACCGTGAACGTAAACACCGGCAGGCCTCCAAACATTCAAGCAAGGCAGACGCTAACAGAGGCAGCAGCACCAGCAGTAGCAGCAAATATGGAGTCATAAAGGGTTCTGAGTGGATCTGAAATAATACAGACTGCGACTTTTGTTATTTTAAAACAATGCAAAGCCTTCTCAGACCAAAAAGTATTTATGTTTGTGTGTCCGTACTGTGTGTAAAACATGGACACGGCACCTAGTTTAGATTCTTTTCATACCATTATAATAGTTTGGTGATTATAAGTGATTGATAGTGTCCACTGTTAAGTCATGTGAGGATCAAACAATTTAACAGTTGGCCACAAAAAATAAACCTAAACATCCCCAATGGTAATAAATGGTACCTGCTCATGCAGATATATTATATATATATTATATATAGGAATACTCACCGCCCCAGGGCCTTCTGCCAGTCCGTGACAAAGCTGGATAAATGTTTGTTGCCGCTGTAAACAATATAAAAACGTATGAAAATAACTTTGTATATTTTGTTAAATGACTTTTGCAGGAAGATGTTGGTGCTGTGTTTGATTCCCTGTGAATATGCAGGTGTCCATGCTGTAAACCAAGGTGCCTTACTTAAACAATGTGCTGCTTCTTATTGACTCTGCATCACTTTAACTGTCACATAATGTCGTCATTAACCCCCCAAAATATATCATCACTGTGGACTGAAAGCAGAAGCTAAATCCTACTCTCTGTGTGACTAGTTTCATTACTGTCCAGGGGTTAACAATGTTTTTTCTGAGTATGCAAGCTGTATTGTTATTTTCACCAAACCAGGTTTGATGTGGATGAAGATAAATGAGAGACTATGGGTTCAGTTGGTAGTTTTACAGTGTTTTCTGTGTGTTGTTTTGGAGCGAGAAAAGCAGATCAATGGAAGTGTTTAGCAAAATATAATGACCTAACTCTGTTGTTTGAACTGTTGTCAGTGTCTTATTGTCAAGCTGTTACAATTCAACATATTTTTTGTTTGTTTGAAGTTCTTGCTATGAAGGCTGTCTGCACCAGTAGTTTATGATATTGACATGACGAAACAATCAGTGCATCTGGTCTGTTGTATGTTTGTTTCAGGCCTGGTATAAAGAGTTCTTTGTCATCAATAAATACTTTTAATTGCAGATTTTCAGATTGAAATGTCATTAAGGCTTGTTTTTTGCACTGCCAGTGTTTTTGTGAACAGTATTTTTCTGAACAAAAATAAAGAATTGGCATTTGTTATGTATTCTGTGTCTGACATATAAGTATTATGGTGGCATGACAGTATAAAACAAGTATTGTAAATTTGAATCCTCCAATGGGTGGAATGAGATTACAGACACATTGCCCTCTGCTGGGCAGCAACGGATAACATTTTAACTATCTTCCTCTTCAATGAGACTGAGGCTTTGATCCCCAAAGATTAAAATGATCCGTGTTTCAGTTAATGTTACACGTTGACAGCTAAGGTAATAGAAAGCGATTATATTAGTTTTTCAAAAACAATTTCACCCCTTTTATTAAAGCACACTAATATACTTTTTATTGTTTATTTTGAAAGCAGCAAAACATGGCTGGGGCAATGGTGACCAAATATGTTCAAATGTTTTGGCAATTTTTTCAATTTCAATAGTGGGTTTACTTTAAATAAATACTGAATGATAAAATAGATAATAATCACCTTAAGTACAACTAATATTTTGATATCCAACCATCTATATGGCAGAGCGTTTTTTCCCGGAAGTGACGTTGACGCTACGTTCCCCTCTCTCCGCCAGTGTTTTTAAAAAAGCGGCGGTTGCTCCTCGAGCACCTTTTATAGTGAATCAAAAGCATTTAATTCTTTATCGCAGTTGTCCAGCACAATATTACAACGTAAGTGGGTTATATATATTTATTTAGACGAATATTAAACCTCATTACAAACTTTTTGTGTGGGTCCAGGCGTTGTTTATATCGAGGAAAGCTAAGCTAGCTAAAGTCAGCTTATGCTAACTAAAACAGCTAGGTTTGCTAACTAGGTTAGGTGAATAATGTGTATATTGCGCTGTTGTAGTAGTTAAACTAACTTTACATGCTTTATCACAGAATGTGTCGATGTCTCACTGTAAGATTGCCGCAACCTTGGTTTCAGCAAACTATTAAATTTAGCATTAGTCTTTGTAAACTTTACCACAATCTGACAACAGAGAGGAAACCGCATGTCATTTAAGTTTTTTATTTATTCATTTGTACGTTTGTTATTGTTATTAAGAGAACGGGTTCAGCTCAGTAATAAAAGCACTAATCTCATATATGAGCACTCACGTTAGTTATATACAAGATAAAATAAGATAATATGGTAATAAGATAGAATGAAAACGATAAGATAGAATGACAATGAGGTGATGGAAATGAGTAAGTTGTAAGATCAAAAGCGATGACATAAATTGTGCTGTATGCATATTAAATTATAATTGTGCGTAAAAGTATGTGACATTATCTGTTAATAGTATTTTACAAATGTAATAACTAGAAAGAATGACGTGAGAAATGAGAGTGGAATGAGATAAAATAATATCAAGAATATAACATGATCATATATATATATATAAAAAAGGGGATTGTGTTTGGCTCAATAGCAGCAGTATGATGCAATGTATTCTTACGTAACAGTAGTGGAGACCTTGCATTACGTCACTCAAAGAACTTTGGACACAACTTTGTCAAAACAAAATTATTAAACATTAGTAAAACAAGTGTTTATATATATACTCTTCTTTAAAGAGCTATTGTTTTTATTAGTGCTCTGTCAAATGTGTATGCAGAATTATAACATTTTAATTAACACATGTTCTGTTCTCTTTTCTTAAGTAGGATCCTGGTGTTTGTCTGTGAAGCTGTACGCTCCTTTACTGCACCAGGATCATGCAGCATCAGCAGTGTGCAGAGGAGCGAGGCCTTCTGGGCTCACTCTGTCCTGGGCAGAAGAAGCTGGAGGGGAAGACCTTCTACTTGGACCGTCTAAAGAAACGCTCAACAGCCCTGCTTTTGGAGGCCGTTTCTCTTCTGGGAGGGGTGAGCATGTGTAAAGGCAGCATGCCTGTGCATCCTATGCTTTAAACATTGTTTTTTTTTTTATACAAGAATTGTGATCAGGGTTTGATCTAGGCTGTGACATTTTACATATAAACTACCATGCAAGAGTTTGGCTCCGCCATCAATTTGCACACATTTATCTGCCTTCAGAATGATCAAAAATGTTTGTTTTAGGTCCGTTTTTTAAGACGTTGTAGCCAAAAGCATTACTAAATGGTACACCATTAAGATGCAACGATTAGTTGACTATTTGAATAATCAACAACTATTTTGATAAGCGATTTCTCGTTTTACCAAAATAGTAATTTTTCATGCTTAATCGACAGCAAATGTTGTTTTCAGCCTCTCAAATATGGAAACTCCTTGCTTTTCTCTGTTTAATGTCGCATAAAAGTGAAATATATTTGGGTTTTGGATTGACAAAAGAAGACATTTAAAGACATCAACTAAGACTTTTCTCACTATTTTCTTGCGTTCTATAGACCAAACGATTAATCAATATATATAGAAAATAATCTGCAGATTCATATTCACAAAGAAAAAGACAAAGGTCTGACTATGACAGATGTCTCTCAGCAGAAACTGATGAGCAGATGCTGTTTTGTTTTTTTCTTTCTCTGAAGAGGGTCGAGAGTTTCCTGCACAAGGACGTGTGCTTTGTCGTGACTGAAAGCCAAGAGGGCCCGAAGGAGCAGAAGTGTACCGACACTAAAGCGGAGACAAAGGGGACGAGTGAAGAAGCCCAGCGTCCTATAATGCAGCGAGAGTGCGTCTTCAGCAGTGACAAACGGAGACCAGGAACTCCTAGACCAACGGTACAAAGCATCACCCATGCACGTTTTAAAACCTTTTACAGCTTATAGGCTCTATTACTTGTGTAAATTGTGACACATTTATATAAGAAATATGAAAATACTACATATTACCGTTCAGAACAATTACCCTTTTAAACATCCTGACTTTCTTTTGATCTTTTCTTCCATCACAAACTCATTTGGACAATGCCCCACTAGATGTGTTATCGGCTAGAATGAAATGTATATCTGTGCTGTGTGTTTCTCTTCAGGCTTGTGGCAGCCGTGGGAAGGCCCTGCTGGAAAAAGCCATTCGCAACAATGTGAGTGGGCTTTATTTGTTGTGGATATCGGTGATGTCCTGAAGACTGACGTGGTTTGTTATCGTGACTTTATTCTGATGGATCTGTATTGTAGGAGCGACTGCAGGGGACCAGTGTTTTGGCCAATGCACGATCATGGGGAGTGAAGATTTTGTACGTGGACGGTATCCTTGTGACTAATAACGTGATTACGCAAACTCTAATCTGTCTTATATTCGTTCACCGCTGTAGTGCAGTGATCCTCTGCTCACAGCAGATGGCACCATGCGAGAGCTTACTGTGTCTTACTGACACCAGCTCAAGAAGCCTGCTGTTAACCAGCGTAGAAATGTCACATTCTTAATCCCAGAAAGTGTGTGGAGGTTTGTTATTGTTCCTTAATGTTGTATCAGATGTCCTTTTGTATTTGAAGCAGTTGACTCGAGAGAGCTTCAGTGCTATACAAAAGAGGCCGGAGGTAAGATGTCTTTTCACTTCATCAGACATTAAAATGTAATAGTTTTACATTTAAAAAAACAAGCAAGTAAATGATTTATGAATTAATTAGTGACACATTAACAGTGCTGAAAAGATAGTTCCCATTAAAATGTGATAAACTTTGTTAGGGATTATAATCAGCCTTTTCTCTTTATTATTGATGAGTCTAAATTGAATTCTTTCTTTTTTAATGCAGAGGACTTCCACCAAGCAACATGTTGTCAAAGGTTAGTTTATGTATGTGTGCTGCTAATGTCTTTATTTCCCAACAACACAGTATAAGTGCTTTTTTAATTGTCTGTTCTCCTGGTCCACAGCTGCAGCATTGAGGGCTCCCTATCTTAAAATTGAAGACATGAGCAGGTGACTTTCATCCCTCATTCAGAGCAGTTTGTTTTTTGTGTTTTATTTCCTGTGTAGCAGGGGTGGGGCGACTTAAATCCAAAGGTAACAGTGCACTTGGGAAACAGCAACCGTCTGTCCTGCTCTGTCCTGAGGGAAATATCTGAATCTTAAGCTGCTAAATGCTCCACTGTGTTCAGCAGCTAGTCCCCGAGTTTGGTGCTGAGAAGCCACAGTGGCTTCATAGAGCTTTTAACTGGTTGGAAACAGCTATGTTTTGCATCTGGAAAAGATGCAATGAGAGCCGTGAGAGTGAACCAAAACAGTAGAGCTGCGGGTCGGACAGCTAAACAATCGGCTGAACGTCGCTATCAAACTCCTTAAAGCCGAGGGGACCTGAAGCGACCCTGTTCACATTGTTTTCATATTGTGATTTAGTGTAAAATATTAGTTACAGCTTCTTTAATTCTGTGTTTGATTCCAAAATGAATATAAATGGTTTAGTATCAGATCCTTTTTTTGCAGTTCAAGCATAATGACTTGCAGTGACCTGTCCCTATGTTCCTGCCCTTCCTTACCCCACTGGGTGCTAGTTGTGGAGGTTTACATTTCAGCCCAGATGATTTTCTTAATTGAACCTGTTGAGGAGTCCTATCGTGTAATGTGACGAGCCCCCCCTCAGTGGTGCTGCTCCCCAGGAGCCCAGCGCTCGAGCGGATACAATTTCTATTCGATGAAGCTTTGTAAGCTCCACCGCCCGTTCCTGCAGCGGATCTCTATGTGCTAACAGGTCTTTTCATTCGCCCTCTCATTTCACTTAATTGAAGTGCTCTGGCTAAGAGAACCCATGACATCTGAAACATTTGAATGATAGCCGAGTTAGCCGATTAATCTCACATTTTGCAAAGTGGATTGAAATATTTTTAATTAGAAAATAAGATGATAATAATGTTTTTGTTTTTCATTTTGTGTATTAAATCCTGTTGTTTTGTTATCTAACCAGGAGACACAAGCCCTTGCATATGCAATCTATGGCCTTCCCCACTCTGTGGTACTCGGGCCGCTTTAGTCCCTTTGAAGCTCCACCTCCTCTGTTTGATCAGCAGTCAGAGCAAGGAGAGAATAAAACAAGGTTTGTTTAACTAAAGGATGTTAAGAAGTGTTGTTTTCTAACAAACAAATTGGGTTCAACAGTCCATGATGAAGGATTTATCCTAATTGTTCATTCTTTGTAAATTAGGGAGAAGAAAAAAGTTGAAAGCAGCATTCAGGACAAATCTCAAACCGCACTCGACAGTAACCCTTCACCTTGGAGGCCACGCAAAAAGGAAGTGTCTTACTGTGAATGCTGTCATCAACCCTTCACTAATCTGGAGGAGGTGGAAATCTTTAAGAATTACTTTTGTTGCCACCTAACAGATTTTTTGCGATCATTGTTTGGCTTGTGTTTACATCTGTGACTGGTTGTCTTTGTTGGCCCTCGCAGCACTTGCAGACTGATCAGCACCGTGCTTTTGTTCTGGATGCCTCAAACTACAGTGTGGTGGACCAACTCGTGACTGAGATGCTGCCGGGATTTAACCCCAATCCAGCTCAACACTCGGATGAAACACTGAACCGGTGAGTATTGGTCATTGCATAGAAATGTGCTAATGATGTGAAATTCCTGTAATCTTGTTTTTCTGAGTTTTCTGTGTTGAAATGTTTTTTCTTCTTTCCTTCCTTAGACCACCAACCCCTTTTCCCATCGGTGAACTGGAGCCTCTCACTGATGCGGAGACGGAGCATGCTGTTCAGGCCTTGCATAGACATGGTTCATCTTTCCATATTCACCTCTCCAGTCCTGCTAAGGGTCCTCGTTCATCTGGCCCTGCCTGCCCATCACCAGGAGTTCAGTTTCCCATCCCAAATCCACCAGCCACTCGACCTACTGACATCCAGCCGTGCAGTACTAACACAGACTGCCAGCTCCCTGACATCCATCCTCAAGCATTAAGTCCAGCGATGCCTGTTTTGGATATTGAACCACAAGCTCACAATGAACACTTCTCCCCATCCCCTGACCCGTACTCCCTGCCTCCGGTCCTCAGCCCACAAGTCCCTTATACCTCCTACATTATGGAGCCGCACTGCCCGTACTCGGAGCCCCCTGTCCTCAGTCCTCAACAGTACATTGCAGAGGAGGCTGAGGAAGCACACGCTTGTGAAATGGACACTGGAGAAAGTATGTCTCAGTGTGTCCCTGATCCTATCTCCACAACACATTTTCCCTCTGTGGCTTCGACAAATGCAGAAGGAGTAAAGGGATCAAATCAAGAAAGTATTTTGGGATTAAGTGAGATCATATGTTCCACCAATGGTTTGGAGCGTGCGACGCTGTTGTCGCGTAGATCTCGGTCCCTCCCTCGACAGATGGCGGCGACGCCAAACGCCAAAAAGCGCTGTAGATCAGCCAGCCCAGAACATAGCCGGAGCAAAAGGAGGAGGATTATAGCGGAATTTGGCTTCAGACGTAGCTGGATTAAACAAGTGTATACAGCTGCCAAACCAGAAAGTGACATTATGGCAAAACCTGAGGGCTGTTTGTTATTTGACAATGTCTCTTGTCAGGAAATACAGTCCCGTCTTAACCCAAAGGTTTCCTCCACATGCACTGTGGAAGCACTCGGTTCAAAACAGACTTTTACCACGTTTTGTGTTCCTACAGTACAGAATTTCACTCAGGAAACAAATCAAAGCGATATTTTAGGTCACGGTGGCACTTATGTTGCTGATCATCCGTCACAGCCACTCTCCTCAAAAGCAAAGACTTGTGACAAATCTCACAGTGCGTTTTCATGTCAAGACTCTCAGCGTGCGCTGTCCCACTCCACCTCGGTGTGCATCGAGTCAGCCCTCATCCCAGACTTAGCCAGACTGTCTCCATCATCATCAGACTCTGACTGGGACTGTGGCCTGCTGTCACGACTCGGACCTTCCCGCGCCGCTCCACCGTCACCCACCGAGCAGAGCCGCGAGCTCGACAAGGAGCTCCTCCACATGCCGTGCACCTGGATGCACGACACCAGCTACGAGTCCCGACTACACACCGTCCTTCAGCCGTCACCCCCAGCCGCCTCGCTGTGCGGGGAAGAAGTGGACCCTTCAGCGTTTTCCAGGACTGTGGTACAAATTGTTGAGGTTCAGCACTGACGGTTATTTTCTTGGTCATTTTAAAATACTGCAAGACCTGCTACCTGGGAGCTGTGCAAACTGCTGCATAGCTAACAGAGAGGAAACAATTGGCAGCGCTTAAGCTCATCAAAATAAGTGAATGAAGTGTACACTGAATAAATATTTAAATCTTAGTGCAAACTAAAATGTTATATTAAGCTGATTTTAAAGGTGCTGATTTCTATTTTCTCTTATTTTTTGTTGAGGTAGATGTTACTTAGTGGATGCATATTCTCAGGAATTTGAAGAGCGTCCATTATCGCTTTTCCTCTCGACCCCTAATCCTCCTCGTGCACAGAACCCTGAGCAGTATTCCGTATATGTTGTGCTGACTGAAGTCTTTCAGCAGCTATGTCCGGGAACATATGGCGGTATAGAGAATTTAATGAGGCTTTTCTGAAAGGGGCATTACTCAATTACTGTAAGTGCTGTGTCTGGATCAGATCCCACTCGCGCCGGTGTTGATGAGGCGTTGGTAGAGTGGAGGACTCGCGCAACCTGTGGGACAGAAATCTCTCCGATTAATGTAAAATTGCATTTCCCACCTTTTGAAGGTTGGCCAAAGGACTTGTTTTGTCAAGGGGAGACTGCTGCTTCACGGTATGTGTGCTGCAGCTACAGGGAGGTTCATCGTCTTCTCTTGTTAGTGTTTGAACCTGCCATCAAAGACTTGTCATTGCTCATCATAACAGACAAAACTAAAATGTCCAAAATCTCACCTTCTGAATATCTTACATGGACTTTTAAAACAAACATGCAGAATTCTTGTACAGTGTTTTTAAATAAATGTTTTGAACCATAAACATTTTCTGTTGCATAGTTATGAAAAAGTTGTTGCTCAGGTGAAGCAAAGTTAAGAAAAGTTGGGGTTTGCGGAGTGTAATTTCCCCCTCCCCCCTCTTGGCTTAAATAAGTGCTGACTCTGCGTGTATGCTAAAGGAGAGCTGAATGGGAAGGGAAGGATGAGGCAAGGACAGCAGTGGGTCGATGTGTCCTGTTTGGCTCATCAGCCCAGCTTCCAGCTGACACAAACAATATTTGATATCTCATCTCCGAGCCTTGTTACGTAACACTCGGCTCTCCAGATTTGTTAAAATGAAAGGAGCCCGTGTATGAGTGACCCTGGCCAAAACCACCTTTAACTTTGGAGACTATTTTTGGAAAGGAATCTAGTTTGGTTGTGTCTAGTGAGATGTCATTTCCAACTGGAAGTTTAGGGTTCAAGTGAAAAACAAAGCTCAAAATACCAAATATTCTGGTCTAAGTATTTGACATGTCCGCCCACAGACAGATTTTGTGTGAGTGGTTAATGGATTGTAGTTGGCAGTCATGTTTGATCATTAAAGCTAGTTATATCTTTAAATCAATGATTAGTCTTTTCAGAGCTCTGTGAACACTGAATATAAACGTTCAATCACCAGCTCTCGTCATTTACGATCTTCCTTTACAGATGTTCACAGTAGGCCTAACTAAATGTTTCTTCTCCATGTTGGCTTAAAAGTTAGTTCAAAGTTTATCGTTTTGTCAGCTGCTGTTTCCATGCTCCAGAATAAATGTACAATCTCTATATAAATGCACACTAATTAGAAGAAAAGGTACTCTACATTTAGAATAGCATTATGATAAGCGTTAAACGGTCACAAACTAAACTGCTTCATCAGGACTGTGTGTCTGGTTTGATCAGATTTGACTGAAAAAACACCAACTGTCATCAGAATGTGATTTAACTGTTGACGTTTCAGACATTGTGCTTTTCAGCTGAGAGCGGCCAACGTCATACCATTGAGAAGGTAATAAAGTTATCTCTCAAGTGCAAGAATCAAAACTGTTATAACTGGCAGGAAGTTGTTCAGGTCAGCCAAAGTATGTTAGTTAGTTTAAAGAATATTAAGAGACCTCAAAGTACCCTGTATACAAAAAAATAAAAACCAGAGTAAAGTCCAAAATATGGTTTGTTTTGGGGGTGTAACATAAATATTCATTTTCTTTCTTTTTGTATCACAATAATCTTGTTACTTATTAAATTTAATCCTATAACTCCTCTTTGGGATTCAGACCACCGATCTTTATAGTTAGGAATGTAAAAGTCACCAGGTTCACTGATGACAAAAAACAATTACCATTAGGCAAAGCCAATGATTAATATATGTTTGATTATGTTTGCTTTATTGCTATGATTAATAAAGGGGGGGAAACCCGATTGAAACTCCATATCAAATGTATTTAAGACGTGTTATGTAACATAAATGTATCTTAATTTTAAAGAATTAGCATAATCCTAATTCAGACAGAAATACGATGTTATTATTCATTCTTTAGTTGGTGGAGTCTACTATCAGGGGTTACCCGGACACTTGAGTTTTGGCCAAAGAGCGTGGGTGTGCCGTCAAACCCCACGTGCCCCCTGTTTCCCTTTCCACTGCTCCGCGCGCAGCCTCATTGCTTCAATCAAGTCCAGTATCGTCAGACCGATAGAGGAGTGTGTGTGTGATAACGCTGACACCGACACACACCATGCTGCTGGAGCCGAGCAGCGGAGCCTCGCCAGGGGGCTTTTAACTCTCTTCAGGCGGAGAGGGGTTGAGAAATGCGGGCGCCGCGTTTAAAGGAACCCCGCTGTTCTGTTTGCCTTCACTGTCAACAACAGTCCTACTGCAGCTCCGCGCACGGCTCCTATCGGTTCATTTAACGGCGCTGCACCGAGGATATCCCTGGGACTATGTGAGCATCATGCTCGCTGTGAGGTGCCTGCTGTTCGCTGCAGTGTGTGCACGGTGCGCCGTGGCAGGTAAGACGCTCCGACGCTTTTCTTTCATGTTACTGTTTAGTGTATCACATGCAACCTATCATCATTGGGGGGAAAAAAACAAATAAAATGCATAGTTTTCTGTCAGTTATTGCATCCACTCAACCGGTGCAATAACAAGGACCGTGCTATTGTTGCATCGGTGCCAGCAAGCAGCTCGCCATCAGCTGTTGAATTCTGCAGAAATAAGACATATAACCTCATCCAGATTCATAGACCCCCCCCCCCCCCACTTTGACTCATGCTGGCTGTGCACTGAACCTCCTCGTGGACTCTTGCAGGTCTGAGGGAACGGGTCAGTCTGGAAGGAAGGCTGCCGCCTGCAGAAGAGGTCGTTCAGCCCAAGCAGCTCCTGCAACAGATCCACTCCCAGGAGGAGCTGCTCCACAGCCGCCTGAACACTCGGGTCAAAAACTACACAGCCGAAGCGCAGGTGAGTTTTGTCTGCACACGTATTTAGCTATTATACCCCTTCATTTGATCTCGGTTTCTACATGTTCGTAAAGTTGTTGTTGGTATCAAATTGTTATTATTTTGCGAGATAGTTTGTCCTGGCCCTTAACTTAGCTGTTTTTTGTGATACATTTTTTTGGTGCTTTTACTATATTCTTTAAAGCTACACACTGAGGATTTAGTACAGCCACATATCAACATGTCCTGTACAGGTTCTGTATGTACCCCCACTCTGATAACCTTAAATTCTAACAACGAATATCTAAAAGAATATTGCATAATAAATAGATGGATAAAAGAGTTGAAAAGGGAGAACGGAGAGATAAACATTGTTGTGTACGTCTGTAGACAATGAATGCACCCCTAACCTTCACCTGCACTCTGTCTCGACCTGACTCACCCCTGTTTGTCATCTCTTTTGAGGTCATGTGTCTGTCTACCCTACTCTGTGACACCCCCCACATGACGCCCAGTTTACCCGGGCCATAACAGGGCATTAAAAAAAAACCTCAGCCCACCACCCCCTCCTCTAGCTGCCTCCTCCTTTCCAGTCCATTAGATTATATTTCACACATCTACCTGTCCTCTCTCGTTACCTTCACTATAAACGCTGCCTGTCAGTCAGCTGCAGGCCTGTCAGTGGATATGACACAGGTCTGCCCTTCAGCTACCCTTGGTGGGCAGCGTGCCATCTCAGGACCTCACGTCCCTGAGACTGTAGAAGCCCTCTAGAAGGTGATCTGCTTGAAGTTTATGGAGCAGTCTGACTGCTGTCACACAGCTAGTGACTAGATCATACTTGAGTAGATGGCAACTATTTAGCATTAATACTTTAAAATGGAGTTGGGTAACTATATCTTTTTTTAAATTGACATCCTATTTGTGTCTATAGAGACCATACGAGTCCGTGTCTTGACTTGAGATGCTGTATGGTGTGTCAGTTGAATATTTGGGCTTTTATGTTTAAATAATAAAATTGGTATACAATTAACCATCACCACAGTCAGAGCAGCTGATGCAGCTTTCTTGTCTCTGCTCACAGGCACCATTGTGGGCTTTTTATTGTACTGTATACGGACCCAGCGGAGATTTAGATTGATACTAAGTGGTTTGCAGAGAGTGCATGCATGGCAATACTAATGAGACCTTCCTTTCAGCTTGGCCAGTAAGTAGTGCTGGGAGCCACCACAGAGCTCTGTGGATGAGACTGAGCTGATGAGCCCCAATGCCCAGTTTTATCCTAAAAAGCCTCAGGGATGGACGAGGCTATCTCGCCTTCAGGAAGAGGTTCCCAAAATAGAGCCTCCCTTTCTTATGTTTCTTTGTTGCTTTGGTCTCCGTGTCTTTAAGTTATTTCATATTAAACATCCATCGATCTTCTTCCCTCCTCCACTTTCTATTTATCATATTCTGTCACATTTGTTCCTGAAAAATACCTGACAAATTAGTGAGTTATTTGTTTGAGTCGGCGTCTGGGACCAACATCATGCAGAGATATGAACTAGAGATGCAGCGGTTATTGATTCTTTAAGTAAGCTCTAGACATCCAAGTACTTCTTTATGCATATATTCTGGTCATCACTGTAAGTGTCCATATTTCTTTATCTACATTGTACTGACTACTTGCCCCCTGTAGACAGCACCATGAGACATAAACTAGGAATCAATGCACAAATATTAATGCATGACCGTGACTAAGAGATGTAGACTCTGTTCTGAAGTGAACAAACCTATAAACTGCCATCAACAGACAGACGTAATCAATCGGAGTTAGTTTGAGTTTTTGTTGCTTCTTACTTCGGTATCTCAGTAATTTTAATCAAATGTAAATCTCCAGTCCAATATTTCCTCTCTTCGCTCTTCCAACTTCTCCTCCCTCAGCCCGTCCATCTGGCCCAGAGCAGCTTCTTGGTGGAGGCCTTTGGCGCGTCCTTCATCCTTGACCTGGAACTCAACCAGTAAGTCACCGCATGCCTGCAAAGCATTCACACATCTGCACCATTGAGGCACCAAACCACAGACATGACCATACTCGCATGCACACGCTTACTGCCTTTCTTCCTTCACCCGTGTGTCCCGCCCACCTAAAGTCTGTACTGTAAGTCCTGTGTGTTGGCATTAAACGGACTGGCCGCAGGCTGAATGTATACCTCCC